CCCAAGAGTACTCTACAAAAACTGCCACAGACTCTCCCAGAAAATGCAACTCTAGACTTGCCCTAAAAATAGTTTGGCTTCCTTGAAGGGGTCAGATCCATGGCCTTCAGAGAGAAAAGCATAAACACAACTCTTGCCAGACCAAGCTCTCAACACTTAAATCAGTCTGCTCTGAAGTCCAGACGAAGTTCCAAGAACAAGAAGAGTCTTCTATAAAGAGTTTAACAGCAGACCCTGGTTATGCAAGGCGCCCAGTTCCAGCTCTCAAATGCTTCATGTCCAGAAGTTCAAATTAATTACTCCTTTACCAAACGAAAAGTGAGTTATGTCTTTCTGTCACTGCAGCCAGGATATTCTCCAGGCTGCCAAAAACATGTGCATACCCAAATACCAAAAGTATGTAGGAAGGCTACGGAGCGTCCTCACCAAAGACAAGACAGAATTTTCACTTCATAAATCAACAAGGAACTCCAAAAAGGCGGCCAGTTGAAAAGACAAGCTACACTGATGAAATATTTTCTTAATTCACCTCATTCAGGGTATTGATTTTTTTAACTTCATGAACAAGTAATTTTTAATGTAAATAAAAGCCGGAAAAAAACATGTATTCTTTTTTGCATGTGGGATGACAAAATTTTTATCTAAATTAATTAGGTGATTTTTCACTAATAAAGATTTGTTGCTTTTACTTCAGACTTTGTTTTTAATAAAATCCCTTCCCACCCAGACCCTCACCCCACTGTTTAGAGGAAACAGAAGGTTGTGGAGGTTAGTTCTAATGTGTTTCCCTGTCACTTTCCAAAGGATTACGAATAACGAAACCTGCAGTAGCATCTATGATCTACCTGGCTTCCCTTAGATGGGATAGAACACAAATCCCAAGCCTATTTAGAATCTGTTTCAGATTTATTTCATCTCTACTTCATCACAGCTGGAAGTGTCAACCAAGATCCTAATATGTGTATTACCACCATACAACTTTACACTTTGCAATTTGCACTTTGAAATGTAAAATTAATGACAATGAGTGGAAAATTCAAGCTACTTTGGCAAAAAAGCTAAATTCCTCCCCTTTAAAAGTAGAACATTCAACTTGGCCAAAAGAAGAGGTCCTCAGTTTACATTTTTCCTTCTGTTTCTTACCTCCAGGTTTCCTATCCTACTTACAAGGCTGAAAGAATAGGGTAGGGGGAAACAGAATTACTTTCACAGCCTGTGATTTGTCTGGTATACTGGAACTGAGAAGCAGCCTAATGAAACCCAAGTCTCAATCCATTTTACTATTATTATTTTACTTTTGAGTACTCCATTTTTTTTTTAGAGTAGAATTTTTTCAGCTGTTTTAAGCAACTTTTTGCAAAGTCCAACAAAAGAGTTTTAAAAGTCTCATCATTCCCTCCAGAAGGGCCAATCTGTACCTCATGTGCGTTTCTTTTGCCTGGATAAGGGTGCCACACTTGTACATGTGTCTATGTCACTTGCCTGAAAATTCTTTTCCCAATTACCAAAATACTGCCCATCTAGCCAAAGAAAAAATATATATAGCTCACATTCACAGAGGTGACACTTTCCAGTCATATCTCCAGGCTTGGAGGGAGGACCTTGGTTGTCATCAACCAGCTAGCTCTTTGCTACTCAAAGTACAGTCCCCATCCAGGAGCATTAGCATCACTTGGGAGCTTCTTAGAGATTTAGATTCTCAAGTCCCAGCCAGACCTCCTGAATCAGAAATCTATATTTTAACAGGATCCCCACCAGATACACGTGCATGGCAAAGCATGAGAAGAACTGGTCTGTTACAAACTCCCACTCACGGTAAGAAATAGCATCTTCTCTAAGAAGTTCCCTCAACCTCTGTTGGAATCCTTCAAGAGTTGAGGTGTGCAGATCTGTAAAACTCTAGCAGAGGCCTTTCTGGGTTTCAGCGGAGTAAAGCAGTCATTCCTCAAACCAGGCAGCAACTGGAGGAAGCACCAAGGGGCGGTGGTGGGAGGGGCCTCCCCCAGCCTGTGTGTCTCAACACAGCAGAGTCATTAATTAAGATCCACCTGGCTGCTGGCAAAGCAGTCACTCTGGCGTTCCCTGTCTGCCTGGGACTGGCGTGAGGTGTGAGAATCTGGGTAGCCTTCTCTGTGGCTCTGTCCCGCTGGCGTTGATTGTGTATGATTAATGATTTAAAGGAATAAAAAGAGAAAGGTCAACTTCTGAGTTCAAGACAGAGCAGCTACATAGGGAGTAATTAAGATACTTGTGTAAGCATGATTAATAAGCACAAACTGGCACTCTGGGCAGTAAACAAGATGCAAGCAGATGGTTAGCATGGAAAAGAGGTTTTTTTTTTCCTTTCCTAAAAGCAATTTTTCAGCAGCTTGAAACTTGGCTTGTGAATTCTTTTCCTCCCCTAAGTCTCAAAAAACTCATTATCTCCACAACCTTAAAAAAAATGGTGAACACCTTCAATGCTCACTCATTCCTTCTTTTTGAAAAACCTTATTATTTTATTTTATTTTTACAGATAACTAGAGTTTGCTTGTAAAGTGGCTGCAACTCATCTTTGTTTCTCACTGCCTTTCATGTCAGGCGTCCCATGAATTGGCGAGTCTGACAAGGTGGTTCACCGTGGAGCCTTTTAACTCCCACCCAGCACTTCTCCCCCCGTCCTGTGATGGGCAGAACAGAGGCATCAATGGTGGCGTTTCTGGAGGGTGCTGGCAGGCAGGTGTCAGAGTCGTCCAGCAGGCGCCCCTCACAAACACTAATCAGCCCTGGTGTTCTTTTACAATCCATATCTAATTCGCAAGTTTCATTCTTTCTGAAAAACAATTACTAGGTTTTGAAGTTCATTGTGCATTTACTCAACTGTCTCTTCACATTAACGTAAAGTGGGAACAAGAAAAAATAGAGTCAGCAGGGAAGGGACATCAAAAGATGTTGAGAGTAGATGAAGGCTTTATTTTAGGAGTAATATAATTACAGATGTGTGCAATATTTTACAATAAATGGAACACAAAAGGTATATCCTGTACCTTCAAGATAGTGTGTGTGCGTCTGTGTGTGTGTGTAAAGAGAAAGAGAGAAACAGAGAGAGAGAAAGACAGAGACACCTAGACACACACATTTCTATGGGGATGGGGAGAGAAAGTAGGGGAAAGAGAAAGTCACCTATGACTTAGAAAAACAGAAAAGTTCCTCCTAGGATCAAGAGGAAGGATGCATCTCACCCAGTGAAGAGCAAGAAACTCACAGAGCAATGATGGAGCAGAAAGCCTTCGTTTTCTCCCTCTTTGTTGAAAAGAGAAAAAATGAGATAGAGAAAATGAAAGAAAGAAGTGACAGAGAGAGATTAAAGAGAGGGAAGGGGAGACACTTAAGATCTACTCTCTTAGAAATCTCAAGTGTAAAATACAGTGTTGTAACTGTGGTCACCATGATGTACATTAGATCCTCAGAACTTATTCATCTTATAACTGAAAGTTTGTATCCTCTGACCAACAGTTCCCCATTTTCCCCCATCTCCCAGTCCCTAGTGACCACCTTTCTACTCCCTGCTGCTAAGAGTTTGACTTTTTTAGATTACACATATAAGTGAGATAATACAGTATTTGCCTTTCTGTGTCTGGCTTGTTTCACTTGGTATAATATCCTCCAGGTTCATCTGTGTTGTTCAAAATGGCAGAGTCTCAATCATTTCACAATGTATATGTATATGTATATCAAATCATCATGTTGTGTGTCTTGAATATACACAATTTTTATTTGTCAATTCCACCTCAAATAAAGCTGGGGAAGAAAGAATAAAAGAGAGGGAAGGGAGGGAGGCAGGAAGAGAGAGAGAGAAGGAGAAAACAAAGGGAAGAGAAGGAAGTTGGGTTTTAAACTGGAAAGAGACTTGCCAACCTTGACGAAGAAAGTAGCGTAAACTGAAAGTGCCTCTCCTGAATTTTGGTTCTTGAACTCCCTAACAGGCACCATGAGTTGACAGTCCCTGGATGACTCCTGCCCTTGAGCAGGGGCAGATGTGCACTTTGTGTTGGCAATGTGCCATGCATCTCCCAGGCTGGCCTTAGCAAGGAGCCAGGTGTATGTCCTTCCTCAGCTGACCCCATGGGCCATCCACCTCATCTCCTGCCACTGGGGACAGGCCCACCAAGCTTCTCCTGCCACCAACAATCATTTGGGCTCCAAACCTAAGCCCACAGCGCTCAGCTTGAATTTCCCAGGACTGGGAAGGACAGAAGCAGTGACCCCTGCACTTAATTAGGCACATGGCCTTAAAAACAGGTGGCTGACTGTATTCTCTTCTTCGCCACCACTCACCAAGAAAGGAGAGGACCCTATACTTCCCCAGTAGAGAATCCTATTATCACCCCAACGTTTGCTCTCACACCTCAAACCTTTTATTTTTTCTTTTATACTGCACACCATCTTAGTGATTCTGACTCAGCATTTTCCAAAGGTGTTAGAAAAATAAAAATTTCCAGAGACGAAAATGTTTGGAATGCACTAGGTTACTCAAAGTAAAATGGGGTTCTTTCCTGCAGACACCCTCAGTGCCTCTTAGACGCTAATGCGCTTTGGGAATTGTCCGTGGGGTATACGGCACATCACTTCCCAAACTGATCTGACTTCAGAAGCCACCCCCCTCCAGAACTTGGGTTCCATAGAATGTTCTTTGAGAAACAAAGCTTCACATAAAAAAAAAAAAAAGAAAAGAAACCTTTTGCTATTTGAGGTTAGGAATTAATTTGCCCTCTTTTTCCTTCCCTAGTCTGAACACGCCAGTCTTACAAGATTTTCCTTCAGAGATCTATTTTCTACCCTTTGAATCATTTTTTTACCAGCCTTTGCTGCCTCCCACTTTTTTTCATTTTCTTTGAACTCTGGTAAGCAATCCAGAGTTCCAACAAGGATTTCATTCATACAGCATGCAGTGAAAAGGCTTTGCACGTCTCATTCCCTTTAATGCAGCTCCGGACTACACTGCGATTTTTCCTACTTACCCCATATTATCTTCAAGTAGAACCTGAGGTGTCTCTCCAGAGCATTCATATCCATTATTTTTATGTGCTCCAAGTCAATTAGCAGCCATTTTGGGGATAGGTACAAAAAAGTCTCAATACTATGGAGCCAGAGAGAAGAGTAAGAAAGGACATGCCCACATCCAGCGGGGTCCACGTTCCCAGCTCACCTCTCTTGCGCCGGATGCACTGCTGAGAGGAAGGCTTACAAAACCATGGGAGAGTAGACACAGCCTCCACAGCCCAAAGGACAGTAAAAGAATAAAAGTCAAGAAAAAGAAATCCACACACATACTCTCTTTCTTATTGGGGTCTTAGCCTAGGAGCCATTACCCTGCACCGAAATTGTTTAAACAGCCTCCCCACGGAGGTTGCAGTGAGCCGAGATTGCGCCATTGCACTCCAGCCTGGGTAGCAAGCGTGAAACTTCGTCTCAAAAAAAAAAAAAAAAAAGCCTCCCTAGTCTGCTCCCCAACTCTACTCTCTCATCCTGGAAGCAAACCTAAATACCATTAAAAGTCAAATGCCACCTCCACTGCTATACCCCTCCTCTATTCAACAACATATTGACTCTTCACAACAGTCCTCAAAGGTACATACTGGTGTTATCCCCAGTTTACAGATGAGAAATCTGAGAAAGCAGTTATGTAACCCACCTAGAGCCACTCAGCTAGAAAGTGAGGGATCAGGGGTTTGAACCCCAGGCGGTCTGGTTCCTGATTCCAGGATCAGTGCTTACCTGGCTACCATGGTTCTCCAGTACCTGGCCCTACTCAAGTGTCCGTTCATGAGTTTCCCGGGGTCCCAGAGCACCATGACCCAAGTGCCTATCACACTTCCATCCTTGCCTTCCATTCTCCTCCTGATTGCCTTATCAAGATCAGCTCAAGTGACACCATCTCTAAGATCTTTCTGACCATTCCAAATGCCACCGTCCTTTCCTGTGAACTCACATAGCAGGTGGCCCATCCCACCCAGCTCAGTAATAAAGGACACTAGGTCTCTTATTTTTCACCATTGTTTTCAGTGTGTGGGTGGTTTATCTTCTCAACTAGACTATAAACTCCTTGAGGCTTCAAATACCTGCTAGTAGACTGAATAAGTAAGGGGACACTCTTCTACTGCTACCCAACAGGTTTTGACTATGCCAGGATTTCCCTGGTGCCAAGTCTGATTCCAAATTTTCTTCCACACTCCTTTCTCTCAAGCCTCGCCTCTATTTTATTATCTCTCAGGCTGGCTCACAAATTGAAATAGAATATGATGCTTAATTTTACATCAACCCGTTAAGCTGCTTTAAACACTTCAATGTTCCCCAAATGTAGTTAAATATATGAACTTGCACTTAGACTTGTCAACAACACATTGATGATTTGTTTTATAGTTGCGTGTTAATCTACAATCTGTTTAATGCAATCCAATACATTATTCCTGATGGTGATATATAAATTTAAGTCTCAGGCCATGAAATATCATTTAGGATTAAGATTCTAATCTCTTAACAGAGGGGATACCTGCTCACAAAAGCAAACAGCTGAGAAGAGTCCCTGCATATGAAAGGTATCATCATTGTCCCTTTCAACAGGGAAATGAACTGCAGGGCATGCTAGTTGTAGAGGACAGGAAAAAACGAGGGACAAACGAGGACAAACCAGGGAGTCATCTTCCTACCTCCAAACAAAGACTCCCCCACTCAATCAGCCTCACAAAGCACCGTGACTGCTACCACTTTGTCTCTGAAGTCCTCAGGTAAGAGAACAATAATGAGAACAGTAACAACAGCAACCAACAGCAGCGAATTCATAGAGTGCAATCATATGAAGTGGGTACTTCTACTATTGCACAGTTTGCACAGATAAAGAAACTAAGGCACAGAGGGGTAGTTTAACTCATTCAAGTTCACACAGCCAGAAAGCAGCATTGCTGAGCCAAGCAGTCTGGCTCCAGAATCTGGGCTCTTAGCCACTACCTACTCTGCTAACCCCCCAACACAAAACATTAGTCATCAGGCTAATTTCCAGGCTAAAGACTGAAAGACCACTACAAGTATTTTCAGATAAAATAATTGTTCAAAAAATACTATGGGGATGAGATAGAATGTGAGCTATGGTGAACAATTAAAGCACAAACTAAAAATATAAAATATGCACTGTCCTCAAAAAGTTCACAGCTAATGGAAGAAATGAGGTAACCAAGATGGGATCAGCAGAAGGTCACTCTAGTGCCAACAGATGGTTCAAATGAGGGGATCTCCAGGGAGAGAAGTGGATGACCAGGTCATGGAGGGGACAGACTGGAGAGAGACAGTGGGATGAGAGATGTGCAGGTGATTGGTCCAAATGTGCACACATTTGGACCAAACACCCTTATCCAAACCTGCCCTAAAATAATGTCACTGACCAGTACACGAAACATCCCACCTGCAGAGACACTGCAAGGCCCAAACCTTTCAGGCCAGGGGACCCAACCGTGGCCTTCTCTCTGCCTAGAGATGTTTTTCCTCCTCTGAACAGACCTCAGTCACTCTAGTATACTGCCTCTCTCCACAGAGCCTGGTCCTGCCTGGAGCCAGGGTCTGGTTCATTGTGACTGACTCCAACATTATCAGATGCTCCATGCCTGAACCCACCCGAAAACTGACTCTCCCAGACTTTAGCTCTCAGGACACCAAAAATGGTCAGTTGGGCCTCAAGGATGTGGAGAGATCACATGATGGTCTCTGATGGTCACTTGACCAGCTACGTGGCAGGCTGGCCTAGCAAGGTACCTGCCAAGGGAAATGGCAATCCCAACAGGATGGTCAACTTCCATGAACTGCAGCCATCACAACCTTTACCAACTTTGTGCTTCACTGTTTAGAAGTGGTATGTATTTCAGAAATGTCAAAATCCTTAGAAAAGTATGGTGATAAAATGAATAGGCTGTTTGCTCTCCATACTGATACACCCAATTTCAGACTGTCACAGTGCTTTTAGTTATAATAGGAAATGTATAAAGTTAGCCTTGCTGGTTTTGACAACCACAAAAAGGATTTATCAGTTACATGTACCCGTTAAAATGCCGAGGTTCTCAAAGTAAAAATGGATTATAGCCAAATTCTAATATTGTTCATGTTTTCATAATAACAAATACATATAACTTTTCAGACAGTTCTCCTCACTGCCTCCATGGGGAAGGGTATTGGAAATCCAGTCCACTTGCCAGAAATTTCTGTTATTTTTATGCAATAAGTCAAAAGAAGTCCATAAAAACTAGAGCAAAGTTAATTTTTCTGTTTAGCTTCCAAAAATGTCACATGATGGTGATTTCAAATCCTTGAGCTGTAAGGATTTCTTTTCATTGTCTTCTCTGTCTTCTCAAAGACACGCTTTTCTCATTCCTGCTTTCATTGCTTCAAATATATGAAACTCCCACTATTTTCTCTGAAAGCTCCTACAAAGACATTGTCAGATTTCTAATTCTGTCAAGCTTTCTTTTAAGTTGCATTACTGTGGGGTGATGCTGGTGGTCACATTTGTTTATGACTATGGTTTGGTTTTACTTCTTGTGCTAAACCTACCCCAAGACAAATGAACTGGCAAATCTTCATGCCAGGAAATCTTTAAAGAATAAAGAGAAGGAGAGGGGAGAGGACAAAAGCCAAACAATGAAACACTCCAGATATTAAGGAAAATGGAAATGATTCAGAACTTCCCAATTACAGAGTTGAAAACTAAATTGGGTGGCCTCCATCTTCTCATTTGTCTTGAAGCTCCATTAGGAAAATTCAACTAGTAAATTTAATGTACTCCTGCGTGAGAACTATTGGTGGTTCCCATTCAACTTCTGTGAATGAGCAGGTTGATGAGCATTATCTCAGTCACCCTCTAGGACAACCTTGCAAAGATGTAGTATCTCCAATGTACAAGTAAGGCTCAGAGACAATAAGACACCTGCCCACAGACATAAAGCCAGTAAGTGACAGAGCCAAGAATGGGATGTTTCAGCCACCTCTTGCTGAAATGAGCGAAATCCAAATTAAAATTACTATATAGCCAAAGGAAAAATCTTTCAACCAAAGATTTGCTTTCCAGCTTCACATTAGCCCATCTCTCTACCAAAGAAAGACAACACATTAGGGCAGTGCCTGATCACGAGGGGCAGTTCGCTGACTGCCAGTGTGACTTCCTGCATTAGGGGAGGAACTGTCCCTACAAAGGCCATCCCAGGGACTTTGCCAAGCGAATGCTGGACAACTACAAACTTCTTAGCAGAGGTAGAGAAGGCTGAGTCAGAGAGATGTGGAAAAAGCGTATACCCAGCAGGAATCAAACATTCAGAAAGGAATGCTGATGACATTTTTTCGAAAACAATGTTCTATGAAACTGATGTACAAACACAGGTAATTGGGCTTAAGCTTCAAGGACTGCATTTTCACACACAAGTATAAGATCATACTTTGAGTTATAAACTAAAGCTAAAGAAAAGCCTCTTGAAAAGATTAGCAATATAAGAGTTTGTGATAAAGTTATGTCTAGATGACTCTTTAGCAAAACATGCATACATGTGTATGTTACATAGCACAGGCAAGGGTAACCCACAGGCACTCTCCAAAGAATGCTCAAAAAATTATATTTTCATTATTACAGTATCTTGTATTCAACTGGAAATTCACATTGTTACTCTGCAATTCTCTCTCACTCCCCACTGCTTTGGGGAAGGGGCAAATTTAATTAACTTCAAATTAGATTTAATTTAGATTCCTTTTTCATTAGACTTGAATACACCTCTACCTAAACGAGAGGGGGACAGGAACTGAAAATTTTGACTTTTCCTTCAAGAGACCAGACCCACACCCATCACCTCCAGTGACAATTAGCAGTTTCTGCAGCACATAATATGAGAACTAACAAGGCAAAGGAATTGAGGGCAGGGTTTTCCCATCACAATCCTGTCTGAAGCTTAAAAGAAAGCCTGAACGCTAATGAATTCTGAATCCATGTCAGCTCAATAGAGAGCTAAGTCTTTCATCTTCACCTGGAATAGGAATGAAAGACGAAAACCCAACAGTTCATCCACTTCCCCAAAAATATTCTCTGCTTCAGTCTTAGAGAGCTTGGAGTCCATTAAGGCCACAGTGGGCCTTAGAAGTCACCTAACGTGACCACCTTATTTTAAAGGGGAGCAAACCTGAGCCCAAAGAAGTCAAGCAACTTGCCCAAAAGCAGAGAGAGTCTTTGGAATCAACAATTCCTGGCCTTTAGTCACCACTTCTCTAGCAGAGGAGAGAAATAAAAGTATGAGCTTTACTCCAAGTGGTAAGAATGTTTGCCCAAATATTTTTTCCACGTGCTTGCAAAATTCTACATCAACATATGAATTGTTTAAACTAGAAACAGGCATTAATGGGCTCAAAGAAGTGATCAAAAGGGATCCTACTTTCACAGAATGCTTCCTGGACACACAGAAGAAACCCACACACACGTCCCCAGAATACACGTCTGATAGATACAGATACGGCATCTCCCACAGACTCCCTAAAAGGAACTCACCAGAAGATACTGCAACTGAGGACACTAGACTGTTCATTTTACGAGAAAGTCAATCCTAGACCCAAAGATTATAACAAAGTACAGGCGGCTCAAAACCCAAGAGGGAAGGCTTAATGCTTCACAGAACTATTCACACACAGGTTTAAAGAAGAAGCAGGTTATCAGACAAAATGGTTCTACAAAGCACTGTGATGCAGTCAGAAAAACAGCTAGTTCCCAACTAAGTTTATCTGCCCTGACAGCTTCTGTCTTGGCCTGGCAGAGGCTGAGTATCTACATAGTGAACATAAAGATAACCTACAATGGCTACACATCCCCATCCATTTGCCAAAGGTCACTAAGGATTGAGCATTTTGCTTCAGTGCCTCCACTAATCCAAAGACATGCCAATCTGCTTACCGTTACACAACATCAGGAGGTTTGGATTTTACTTATCGAGGGATGTCGGACTTGCTTTGTCAGAACTTGGTGGCTATTAGCACAAGGCTGAGTGCCCATGGCTGCAGTGAATTTTTTTTAATTATCTGGTTTTAGGATGCCCAAAAAGAGGACCTGACTAACAAGATGGTGGTAACTATTGTTGGACAACATTTCGCTTTGAGAACATAAAAGCCAAATGGTGGAGCAATGAGAAATTAAATTCATGGCCTGGAAAACAAGCCAAGATTTTAAAATGTCATGTTGATACAGTAGGTGCTCTTGAGAGTGGGGTGGAGAAGATGTCAGAAACTGAATTGATTGCATTTTCATAGCAATATTGTCAGATGGAAGTGAAGAAGGGTCAAGTGTATCAGTACCCTTTGGTGCTTTAGGGACTTATACCACATCTTTCATCAAAATGCTATGCAATGTAAAAACCCACCATCATACAGCTCCATGTGCCCAGTCACCAAGGCCTACCAAAGACTCTTCCCATAGAGGCTAAGCAAGATTGGCTGCGTCCTTAGGCCTTCCTTTTGGGCCACCAGGAGGTGCTGTTAACAGCAGCATGGTTCTCAACTGACAGACAGCTTGGAAAGATAAAGGTAGCTATGTTCCATCTTCTAACACAGCTTGACAATCTCCTCCTAGTATGTCTAAGCCAACGTCATTTGGCTTAGACGCAGATCCTAAGAGGAAGGAGCCAATATTTCTCCTTGAGTGTCCAGAGAATGGATGAATAAATGAGCTTGTTGTGAGAGACACAAGACTTCCTATTGACTTCCAGCTGCAGCCCGAAGAAGACTGAAATGCAAAGAAATCTCTACATGAGAGGATACCCAAGGGCTAATGACCATGTGCACTGTCTTCAGGGATGAGCAATACCCTTAAAGATAACCCTTTAGAATCACATTTTCTACCCACGTCCTAGAGCGTGGAAGCAGCTCTCTTCATGAGCCCAGGTTTCCCGGCTCGTGGATTTACCTCACAGCTCACTGTTATGTGAGGTATACATGACTGGTGCTTAGGAATATGTCCTGTCTCTTGCCATACAGTAACATGGTGGCATAATAGCACACAGAGTACAGAAACCTCATCATGAAAATATATACAAGGCAAGAGAGAAGGAAGACACAGGCCTTTCCAGGGCTAAGAGAGAAGAATGCCAGGAGAGAAAGAAACAGAGAAGATCAGGTAGAAAATGGTGGAGAGAATGTTTTGGGCTAAGTGGTTTTTTTTCTCTTTTCACAACAATGTGAAAGACACAAAGAGGCTTCCCTGCCCTGAGGAGAGAGTGGGCTGCCCTTTGATGCTGGGCAACAATCTATAATGCTGATGAGAGTTCTCTCTGGCCCTGTTTGCCCACCATGGGGGCTCATTCTCTGACCACGTCCTCACCCAGTGCTGACCTCCAGTTTAGTCATGGGTCTACAGGAAGAAGGGTCGTCTGAGGGTCAAGAAGATGGTGGTCCTCACACCCACCAGAAATCCGAGCCTTCCAATTAGGAAAGGGCCCTCCATCCCTTTCCTTTGAAAGACTTGAAAGACCATTCCAAGTCTGTTTTCTCTGTCATCTTTAAAATCATCAGTAGCCTCAACTTTCCTTTTCAAAAGTTGGGAAGAGAGGCAAAGAATGGTGGTGTGACCTGTTTCAGGGTCAGAGCCAGGACTAGACTCTAGGTCGCAACTCCTATCCAGGGCTCTAAATGTTTAAATTCTGCTATCTCTTAACCTTAGAATAGAAAAAAAAGCCAATAATAGAACAGGGAAGATAAAAATAATTTTGTAATTAAAAGAATAGAGAACCTAGAAATAACTCTTGCATAGAGGGTCAAATGATTTTTGACAAGGGTACTAAGACCATTCAATGGTGGAAAAATGGTCTTTACAGTAAATTGTCCTGGGAAAACTGGACATCCACATGCAAAAAACAATGAGTTGGACTCTTATCTAACACTATCTACAAAAATTAGCTCAAAATGCATCAAATAACTCAACATTTGAGAATGAAAACTATAAAACTTTTAGACAAAAACATAGGGGAAACCTTCACAACACTGGATTTGGCAATGATTTCTTGAATATGACACCAAAAGCACAGGCAACAAAAGAAAAAAATAGACAAACTGGACTTCATCAAAAATAAAATCTTGCACATCAAAAGACACTATCAACAGAGTAAAAAGGCCGCCTATGGAATGAGAAGATATGTTTGCAAATCACATATCTGATGAGGGATTAATACTCCAAATACAGAGAGAAGTCCCAAAGCTCAACAATAACATCAACAAAAGATGACCCAATTCAAACATAGGCAAAGGATTTGAATGGACAGTTCTCCAAAGAACATACACATATGGCCAATAAGCACATGTAAAGGTATTCAATATGACTAATCATTAGGGAAATGCAAATAAAAGCCACATGAGATGCTGCACATATTCATTGAGATGGTCATGACCACATAAACCCAAACAAAAAGAAGTGCTGGCAAGGATGTAGAGAAGTTGGAAAGGTGTGCAGCTGCTATAAAAAACAGTATGGCTATTCCTCAAAAAATTAGAACTATAACTATAATATGATACAGCAATTCCCCTTTGAGGTATAAACCCAAAAGAACCAAACGCAGAGACAGGAACAGATATTTGTGCCCTGATGTTTACAGCAGCATTCTTCACAGGAGCCAAAGACAGAAGCAGTCCAAGTCACCACCGATGGGTGAACAGATAAAACACGGTACATACATATAGTAGCATTGTTTGTAATAGCCAAAAACTGGAAGTAATCCAAATGTCTATCAGCAGATGAAAAGATACACAAGTGTTATATTCAAAGACCAAAGTGCTAAAGAAGTATCTGTACACTCATGTTTAGGAAAGCATTATTCATAATAGCCAAAAGGTGGGAGTAACCCAACTGTCCACTGAAGGATAGATAAGCCAAATGTGATATACACATATAGTGCAATATTATTCACCCTTAAAAATGAAGAAAATTCTGACACATGCTACAATATGGATGAACCTTGTACATAGGCTAAGTGAGAAAAGCCAGACACAAAAGGACAAATACTATATAATTCACCCATATGAGGTACTTAGTGGTCCTTAATCGAATTCAGAGAGCCAGAAAGTAGAATTGTGGTCTCTAGGGGCTAAGGGGAGGGAGGTATGGGGAGTTACTGTTGAATGTGTTTTCAGCTTTACAAAGTGAACAAAGTTCTGAAGATGGTTGGTGCTGATGGTTGCATAATATGAATGTACTTAATGCCACTGAACTGTATGCTTTAAAATGGTTAAAGTGGTTTAAAACAATGGGTTACAAAGGACCACAGCCCATGTAACAGTAGAAACAATCATTCTATCGCCCATTCTACCGGAAGGTCCAGTTTTCAACTAGTCAGAACATCTGTTTCTTCATTTGTAAAATGGGAATATGCCCACCACCCAAATGAGACAGAGCACCAGGGAGTCCTGGTATCATCCCTAATGCATGTTAGGCATTCAATAAACCTTAGTTACCTGCTCCTTCCCCAGAGCAAATACTTTCTGTTTCCAACTTAGAAAAGTGAAACTTCCTTTTTTCTTAATTGTCAGGTTTGCTGTGAGGTAATTGGCAGCTTCCTTTGATTTCAGGATTGCTCTAGATGTTTTGCATGAAGAAGCTCCAGAGTCTTTGTGGGGCTTGATGGCCAGATAATGAGACTGTATTCTGCTCACATCCCCAAGCAGACCAGTATTGAGGCCCACGTGGTCCATATTTGGACCTGTGCAGACAGGTGGAGCAGCACGAAATCTGAATACAAATAATAAATTTCCTATAATCCCCCTACACAGTCTCTACTTAGAGAGTCCAAATAGGACACAGGAAAAAATATTTTTCCTGGCTTTTCTTTGATTCTCAAGCAGATAATTCTGCTCCACTGGGGAGCCCGAGTTGTTGGGAGAGGCACAGCACGCTAGCAAAAGGCAGTATGGCAGAGTGAGAAGCGCCAGGTTTCAGAGACAGAGAACCTTGCTTAAAACTCCAGCTCGGCCACTCACCATGATCTAGGTCAAGTTCTCAAACATTCAGCCTTGTTATCCTCATCTGTTAAATAAAGAGAACAGCCCCTGCCTAACAGGGTGATTGTGAAGATTACTTGATATACATCCTGATATAACTGTTATGAGAAAAACAAAGTATCACAGTCTGAACATCAGCAGGTTCCCCATTATATCCCTAAGCCATCGTAGCTGAGCCACCCAAAGGGAAGCTGAAGTCCCTTTCTGAGAAGTCTAACATTTGGAGGCAAGTGTGGAAACCATTCCTTTCAATACCCTATCTTCCAGCAAACAACATCTGTGAGCTCCGGAACTTCACTTTCCTGACTCTCATGGCTTGGTGTGGGGAGGGGTGGCGAAAGAGAGCAGAAGTGAAGAGAAGTGGGGACAGAGAGAGACAAAAGAGACCTAGAGGCCAGCTACCTTGGGTCCTCTCTCCAAGTCCAATTCCCAGTCCCCAAGAAGGCCAGCTATATCTTTGATCTTCAGTTCCATGAGATGCGTCAGTACCTTTGTAAGTCCTCTATGTATGCTTAAGCTATCTCAAGTTAGTTACTAGTTTAACGCAATTAAGAGTCTTGACCAAGACACAAATCCAGAAGCCATGCTCATACAGGGGTCACAAAAAGCTCTTATGTACATGACCCACTCTGTTCATTTACCTCTTTCTTCAAGAGTATGCCTCCCTTTCTCCGCTACATACGCGCACCACTGCTGCCACTACCGTTACTCTGTCTTGGCTAATTATACAAACTGCCAACAGCAATGTGCTGGTATTAGAAGCAGAGTTGGCATCTCCCTCTGCATGGTCCCCAGTCTGTGTAAGTCTCTCCTTCATGGAGCTGGAAACCACCCATAATTACCTCCATCACAGCCAAAGATTTTAGTAACAATAGAGCATTTAAGTCTTCAGGGTTTAAAAAAAAATTGGACATGGCTGCAAGCATTCCAGCTCAAAGCTGCCCTTTGTACACACTGCCTTGGGAAGCACTCCCTACGACTTGTTGCAGCTGGTGAAGGCGGGTAGGAGAGGAGGCAAGTGAGGCCTCAGGAAAGTCTGGCAGCAAGGACTGGGGAGGTCCTAGGGAAAAGCAGCGTTGGGCAAGCTCCATCTCCCTAATCTGCATGGTGACTGCCGGCCAAGTTTGCTCTCCGAGCTGTGAGAAGGACCAATTAATTTATCAATCTGCACCTCTTTCTGCCATAACATATTTCCCTCTTGCCAACAAAAAATGTGTCCATTATCAGGCAGGTCCCTGTCCTCCTAAGCAGCCCATGCGGCTGTATAATTACACTTCTTTCCTTGACAACTTGCATGATTGTTTTCCTAACAGTATATTACTTCGTTAGTACCTTCCAATATACGTTATTTTTAAACTGTCACTTTTGCCCAACTCATCCCAATTCGCAGTCGTCTGTTTATCATAACAATCATTAATAACTGTCAGTCCACGCCATCAATGTAACGAACTCACTCCCTCATTAGCATGTTCTAGCATTTGTTCCGTAGAGGGGGCTGATTATTTTTTACAACAGGCCAAGCCAATTACTTTAGTGAAATGGAATCACATTAATCAAAACTTAACAAGGTGGCAAATTTAAAGATATCAGATTGCAAAAGACAGCATAACTAATATGTCAGTGTCAGAGGTAGCGTGTAGGTATGCAGCAGCTGTACTAAATATATCTCTTCGCAGAGGCCACATGAATTTTGACGTTTCATATGATCTGACAACTACCAAAGTGATATTATAGAAGGCAAGAGCCCGGTGCTGCACAGCTCACGATGACTTTTGTAGATTCTGGCAAGGGCAGTGTGAGCAGAGAGGGAGGCGGAAGAAGGGAGAAGAAAATGGTGGCCGCGCCTACCCAGGCTGGCAGACGGCAGTTGATCATGTCTCTCTGTGCCAAGGCATTTTCTTTTACACTTTAAATGATGATAGTCATCCATCACCGTCTGACAACTGCTTCAAAACCAGCTGCAAAACATGCAAAGCCCAGCAGTCTAAAACATGCTGACACAACCAACAGAAAAACAGATTTTAAATTTTATTTATTTATTTATTCATTCATTCATTCCATAGGAAAAGAATGTGGAAGAGGGAGAGGAGCCCCAAGCAGGAATGGGGATGAGGATGGAGGTGGGGGCGGACCACAAAATGTTTAGGAGTAGAGATGGAGTAAGAAAAATATCAGGGCAGGAAATGAGCGAGAAGAAAAGCAAGACAGGGAATAAGGAAAAGAATGAAATGGAGACAAAGATAAAGAAAGAAACAAAGGAAAGGGGAAAGTGATGAATAGAAAAAGGCAGGACACAGGGAAGAATGAAAAGGGAAGGAATAAATGCAAGTGGCTGTCAGTATTGGGAAGGAAGGCAAGTGGAGCCTCTCTTTTAAATGGTTGATTCTACCCTAGGAATATTCCTCCAGGCTGACCTCATCTCTCTACTCCACCAGCCAGTGCTTCAGCTCAAGCCTTTCTTACCCTCCTGCCAGAAGATACCAAGTTCCATGCAGGCCTCTCCTGCCTCCTTCCACCCCTTGAGTCAAGTTTCCACCGCCAGGACTCTGTTACACATACTGCTACTATCACCCTCCCAGTGCATGCATTCCCCCAACCCACAGCATCAAGTCTAACTGCAGTACAGCACTTGGCCCCTCCACCAACAGGCCATGTTCCAGCTCCAACATTCACAGTCCATTATTCCCACCCCCCACCAATCCACTCTCCTCTCTGACCTCTTCCACCACCCACAAGGTAGTTCAAATCTCTGTCCTGACATTTATTAGCTGAGTGATTTTGAGTCAGTTATTGGACCTCTCTGAGCTTCCATTTCCTCATCTATCACAATGGAGATAATATCACTTACAGTTCACAATTTATCTTTGAGAGTACAATAAGTTGCTGGGCATAGTGGCTCACACCTGTAACTCCAGCACGTGGGAGACCGAGGTAGATGACCTGAGCTCAAGAGTCCAAGACCAGCCTGGCCAACATGGCAAAACCCCTTCTCCATTAAAGATACAAAAATTAGCTGGGCATGGTGGTGCACACATGTAGTCCCAGCTACTCAGGAGGCTGAGGCAGGAGAATCGTTTGAGCCCAACAGGTTTGGGCTGAGATCATGCCATTGTACTCTAGCCTGGGAGATAGTGACCCTGAGCAAAAAAAAAAAAAGCAAAAAAAGCGGGGGGCAGGGGAGTATAGAAAGCACCTAGAAAGAGGCTGAACACATGAGTAGACACCACTCCTAAGAGCGGGCCTTGAGGTAGAGACTGTGTTTATTCACCTTTTCAATTAGGACAAAGTAGGCAAGCCCTGGAACTCTGGAATTGAAGTGAAGTAGTGCCCTCCTTTGCAGTTCTCGTTCATGAGGTTACATCTAGCTACATGCTGAATAAAATAGAGAATCAGTCGGTGGCATGCAGAGGACAGAAGAGGGCCCATGTGATCTGCAGGCTTTTCAGGGATGAGCTAGCTCACAAAAGCATAAGGGTCCAGTGTGACACATCTGCCTGCATCCTTCCCTGGACCCACAACTCAGCCAGCTCAGCCACCCCGCAGTGACTGTATTTAATGAAGCCTGTTTATTTATTTACTTATTTTGAGGAAGCCCAGAACCATGTACACCATGCTGGCAAAGACCCCATTGTATAATGTGATTAGATTCAGTTATATCACACAGTTCATGAAATTGTGCTATGATTCATTTTTACAACTTAAATAGCTATTTGGTTGGGTTGCCAGGTTGAACGTGATAAATGTGTATGATAAAACAGAACAAAGAGAAGGGCCAGTGCCTGTAAACTAAAACATTAGTCAGTGCATCAACCCCTTCCCTCCTTAATTGTGATGCCTTCCTGAGGGCAGCTGCCCAACAGTCATCCTCCTTCAAAGCTCGTATCTGGTATCAGAACTGTGTCACTGTCAAAGGTGATGATTCACCCCTCTCTCCAGCAAGGAAAAAGCTTTCTCCAGAAGGGTCACCATCCATTCTCTCTTAATCCCTGTCTCCGGATAAGAGGGTAAGCCACAAGCGTTTCTGAGTCCTATTTCAAACTCCAATCACCTCCCAGATTGCCAACTTACATTCTTCTCCTGAATCCCACGTGTCGGACATTTAACTCATGTCCAAATTAACATTCAGGGTAATCATGATGAGATATGCACACACCACCTAATTATTTTTAAATCACAAGAAATAAAGCTGCACTAAAAAGAAATCACTTCGACAGAAAACTCTGCTGAAACAAGGGGAAAAAAAGGGCTCACATCACTCATATCAGTGTCTTTCACGTTGCATAAGAGTTTTTTTCTTACTGTACCAGGGTACCTCTCTATTTAAAGATATCCTAAAGAAGATTCTCTAAAAAAGCATATCATCATTTTGTAAATTATTTTTTTAAAAAAATTGGATTTTCATTTTAAAGAATTACATCATTTTTATGTTGGAAGAGATCTTACCAATTAACTCCAGCCCCAACTCATTTTTCTTCATTTCACAGAACAGAAATCTAATACGGCATATGTTCCAAAGATGGGTATCACACATCTCACAGAAATATGCCCTTCCAGAGTGTGACCCTGCCATTTCCTTATCTAAAGGTAGACTAGGTCCTCCCCTTGAAACTAGGCAGGCTTGCTTTACTGTCACCAAGAGAGTGCAAGGAACTTACATCAGGTGACTGCTGAGGCTGGGCCATAAACGGATGCAGCTTCCATCTCATTCTCTGGAACAAGTGTGCTTGGAGCCTGGAAGAGGACTTACTGATCATCTACTAAGGAGTATCACCACTTTACAAAGGAGGAACTGAGATTTAAAGAAGTTGCATTACATTTTCCAATGTCATACTGCCAACAAATGAACTTAGAGTCAACTGTCAATCCCTTAGTTATTTATTGCACAGTTTCTTCCAGAGTTAGCATGGACAGTAATGACTAGAACCAATTAACCTACTCTCTTGAAATCAGGATGTGTATATGAATGAATGAAATCAGTATTAACAAAGTTAAAGAAAAAAAAGTGTTAAGAGAAATTGTTAAAAAAAAAATTAAAATATTTTAAAAACTCCTGCCATGCTAAGGTGGCCATGCTGTAATGAAGCCAAGCCCATGGAGAGGCATTTCAGATAATCCCAGCCCTCAGCATCAACTTTGAGTCCTTCTAGCCCAGGTCCATGCTTGTGGACCAGAGACAAGCCACTCCACTGTACCCAGTCCAAATTCCTGACCCACACAATCCATGTATATATGAAATGCTTGTTTCAAATCCCTATATCTTGAAGTAATTCAGCAAAAGACCAAGGGGCCACTAGGAAGACTGAGGGAGCAAAGGCCATGTGGGAACCAGAGGCTGGATCGGCTGACCCTAGCGCTGTTATCCCTTTACTGCCCTTCTGTGTGACTTTCAGGTAAAGCAAGGTGTACTGGTGCCTCATACCCCAACTTGCTATACCAGTAAAAAAGACAAAAACTAAGACAATTTTAGCCAAAAATCCATCTGCTGCACAGGGAACCAGTAGAGGTTTCCACTGCCCTTGAGACGGGCAAAATCTCCCAAAAGACCAGCCAAAGGCTAACCCTACAAGTGACCTGAAACAACAAAAGCTGGATATTTGGGGGATCCAAACAGAAAAAATATACACCACCCATCATGACATTCACTGGCGCGATGATTTGTTCCCAAGTATAATATTCCCTGGAAAATCAATAACTACCACAAATGGAGGCCCCTATATCACATCTCCCACAAATTCCACTTTACTTCCAGTTTGGAGAGTATCAATAATCTCTCAACTTGGTCCTCTTGACATTTGGGTCAGGGACTCAGTTCTGGATACTCAGCATGGAACCAACAGGGAAATGTCCATGCTTAGCAGACTTAGGATTTGAGACTGAGGTTCAAACAGATGAAGACCACTATATCTTACAGCTAAGCCTTTTCTTCTTTTCATATCCTTCCATGTGACCCTCATACCATGGTAAACTTTCAGATCCACCCTGTTCATGAATCTGTGAAGAATCTCTTTCTTTACCACCTTCTCAGCCAAGAGAACCCAACATAATAGTCTCTGAAGGGAAGAGATCCTTGGTTGAGCTGATTCTTAGTGATTGAGAATATCATCCACCCCATGTTTGGTATGTGAGGAGTTATGAGTACAATACACGTTCTCTGCACATTTATCATAACCTATTTCCAGATCCAAATTTAAACTTCATGGTCTAACGAAGAACATTTACCTTTCTTCTTTTTCAAGAGACAGGGGTCTTGCTATGTTTATGTTTCCCAGGCTGGACTCAAATTCCTGGGTTAAGTAATTCTCCCACCTCAGCCTCCTAAGTTGGACATTTATCTTTTTGGTAGATTTATCTAAATGAAATCTTACAAAGGCATAAAAATTAAACCACAGCAAGACAGAGTGGCTCACACCTATAATCTGAGCACTTTGGAAGGCCAAGGCAGAAGGAGAGCTTGAGCCCAGGAGTTTGAGAGGAGCCTGGACAACATGGCAAAACCCCGTCTTCACAAAAAAATACGAAAATTTAAAAAAAAAAAATTCAGCCCAAACCCCGGAGGTCAAGGCTGCACTGAGTCATGACTGCACCACTGCACTCCATCCTGAGTGACAGAGTGAGACCTTGTCTTTAAAAATAATAATAATAATTAAATCACATTTAGCCATTTATTTAATGAACTATCTTTACTGGAAATAAAAACCAAAACTATAAACTTTAATCTGTACATATATTAACATATATACATAGTAATATATTATTTGAATTTTCAAAATCAAGACCATCCTGTGTGTATCTGTGTATCACCACACAGATACACCTTCTGTGAAGAGAGCGGAAGCCTTTCGCAGTGGAGCAGAGGAGGACTGATGGCTCCTCCTCCCATCATCTAACCAAAAATACAGAACTTCATCCATTATTCTCTTTTTAACCTCCCAAGGGTGCACTGGACCTTTCTCCTCCCTTAAGCAAGTCACTTCATCTCTTTCAATCTTAGTTTTCTCATTTGTAACACACTCAGAGAGATAAAATGACACAGAGCTCAAGTTCACAGAGCTTGGCAGGAACTTAAACCCAGGTCTCTGACTCTCCATAAAGCGTTTTTCCACCTCTACTTCCTTGTGTATCTTAACAGTGATGTATTCTACTGCTGTCATCCTCTTCACTGGGGCCCTGCCATCATGGGTGGAGTGCAGTAAAGCCCAAGTGTTTCGGAAGCCGGCAGAAGAATCTTCCACCTCCGCACATCAATGCAAGTGGCCCAGGCCCCAACTGAGAAACCCCATTCAGACTCTCAAATACCAAACTGGCATGGGGGAAAAAAAGACATAAAATATCACTTGAAAAGTGTTTTAAAAAATAAAAAGCTTCCCTTTGAACTCAACACAGAAAGTCAGCTGAGGACAGAGCCTATAGCTGCATTCTCTCCAGCATTTTCACCTTGCATCAGACACTCCCCAGCCTGACCGCTGTGGGAACGCAGAGGCTGCAGATGGGAGCAGGGCCTCTAATTTATTTCCCTTCCTGATTTATTTCCCCCCCTGCACATCACTTTGGTATGGCAACAATGCATAATTCGATTACACATGATACATAAAATCATTGCAGCTGTTCAGAAATATTCACAGCAAGAGAATTTCAGATCTAAACTCAGACACAGATACACAGAACACAGACTCACAGTCAGACTTTGTGAATATCCTGCTAAAATCACAAAGGGAGGGGAGAAAACAAAAAGCTCCTCTGTCTGCTGATTAGTATTTCCAGCTTTCCTATGTGCATGTGCTGTTCATTGTCCATAAGTGAAGAATTAAGAGTACCTCCCCTTTGAAAGAAAAACATCTACCTGCCTAATGGGCGGAAACAGCATCTTGGGATAAAAATGATGGCAGTGCGACAAAAAAATCAGAGTGTGTACCATTTAATTTGACTTTAAGATGCTGCTATGAAACCAGGTGCATTTAATTCCCTTTAAACGCCATGTAAAAGTTTCTCTCCTGCCTGCTCACTCTGTGGGCTACATACCGTGCCTAAGATTAATCCCTCAGGAGTTTTTTATTTCCTATTCTGCCTATCTTTCATCTTCACCCCAGACTAAGCAGATGGATGTGAATTCAAAGTTTTCTGATCTTTAGCACAAGTTATGGAGGGTTATCTTTGGCTGTATATCTTTCTGCTGGCAGTGCTCCCTTGGTGATGAAGGATTAACCACCCCAGCTGTCTCTTCCCAGAATGATGCAGTGCCGTGCTCCTCAACACGACAGCATCACTTAATCTTAATGTCCGCTCTCCGAGCGCAGCCGCGCAGGACAAAGCCAATCAACATCAGATGCCACCAAGATGGACCTACTGCTTGGCCCTGGAGTCTCTCACCCACTCACTCCTATTAATCAACATCATCCAACCCAATCCCAGAGTTCACTTCTCTCAAACCTCAGTTAAACCAAGCCGGGGTCCCTGTTAACCATCTGAAGCACAGGGTGGGAGGGGGCTGGTGGGAGACAGTCAGCTGCTTCGGGAGCACAGCATGCCAAGCCGTGTGGCTGAATGAGAGACCTTCCCTCTGCCCAACTTCTCACAGTGCCAACACTGGTTCTGGAGCACTCAACGTGTCTGTGTGTGCTGAAATTCACCCATTTCCCATCATAGAGACTGATCTTGAATGAAGCCTACCTGTCTTCCAGTGACCCCAAAAGAATCTGAAGAAAGACATGTCCCCATTTACAGGCAAACTGTTTCAGCTCCCCTTCCCTCAACTCCACCATTACCAGCAGACATGCTTCTATTTGCACTTGCAAAACCAGGCCTAACACATTCTACCACTTTTTGCACAAAAATACTTAGCCTTACCACAGACAGCACAAATGGAAAGTCTGACCCAGCCAAAAAAATGCCTTGTTTGGGTGACTGATAAACCCACAAATACATTTAACCTGAAGAAGAATCCTATCTTCCCTGAATTTTTAAGTTTATGTATCACAGGTGGGGAGAGCAAAATGGTACTCTCATGGTTTTCTCTAGCTCTGAGCAATTATAGTAATGTACCTCCCTTTTCTTTCTTAAGAAAGGGAACAAAAAAGTCAGCCTAGATCTCAAAGGCAAACGTAATAAAACTGTAAATTATTGCTGGAGTTTACTAAACAAATGCAACCTAGTTAAATTTGGAAAAATCTTCACTTTTGCTTACATTTGCAATTTTACTGCTGAACTACTGGTATTTCTTACTTATGCAACATTAAAATGTATAAGAAATCCTCTTGTGTGCTATATCCAGCATCTACTCTTGATTTATAATACCCAATTTAGGGGGGAAAAAACACAACTAAACCTGATTTAAATCACAGATTACTCTGTAAAACACAAGCAAGGAACTCTTCCAAATCCTAAATGTAATTTAAACATATTTATATTTTACAGTGATATATTTTCCCCATTCCTTGTCTTACAACTGTAAACCTTCTATAATTATATAAGCAATTTCCCTAAGGTCACAACATTGATCATAGTTATAAATTGCTAAAGTACAACAAGACACCGTGTGCAGCAAAATATATGCCGGACATCACAAACGGTTTCATCAAATCAGGAACGGGTGGGGGAAGAAGAGCGAGAGAAGTAAGAAAGGAGACAGAGAAAGGGGAAAAAGTAACAAATTTTCCAAGAAGTCATTACACAGTGTCACATTCTCTTCCCCAAAGCCATTTGGAACAGTTTTTACAACTGGCTTGCAGTAGGGCTTGGTTTAATTTTTGATGCTATTCTTAACCTTTTGCCTGTTCCTCTGAAAGCCACTTGAGAAAGAAACCTGGGAAGCAAACTCCAGGAGTCGCTCAGTGAAAGCAAGGAAAAACCTAGATGATAAATCCCACACCACTGAAAACCTGCCTTCTGCCATGAACAGTAGTTTTCAAACCGTGTTCCTAGGAACCTGAGGATTCCATGGAGACACTCTCTGAAGTGGCTAGGATTTGGGCTTTCCACCCCATTCTTTAGCCAGAGTATCTTCTCTTTGGTCTGTATCCTCTATTGCGGCCCTACGGAAGAAATCTTACTTGGAAAAATAGTTTCAAAGGTTAATATAAAGAACAAAAAAATTTGGAAATGACCACCCCCTGATGCTGTCCTCATGAAGGATGAGACCTAAAGGAAGTTATTTGAGGATCTCTGGCTGTTTGTCAGCGCTGCTGGTGTTTGGGGGTAACGCTTAATGAAAGAGGATTCATGTGCTCTCTGCACACCATGCAAATGGGGTTGCTGTCAGGCGCTTCCAGCGTCCAGGTTCCTGCCAGCCAAGCTGACAGACCAGTCGCCCCTCATAGTTAACAATGCCACACTCCACTCTGGGCAGCTGCCTATTAGGAAGACAGCTGAGACCCAGAGGGAAGGGAGAAATCAGCATGTGACAGACACTGCCGTGATCAATGTAAAATAATCCTAAAAAGACTGTTCTCTGCAAGCTTAGGAACCAAGTGGTTCAAATTTTTCCTTCTCAACATTTTCCGAGGAAAGCTTAGAAGCATCTTTATAGCTCAGGATCTTGGTACAGCTTTCTGAGAAAACTACACAGCTATACACTACGTGCTATACATGCTTTCTGAGAGGACAGCCAGTAAGAGATTAGCCTCCTGGAGCAAATGATGCTCCTCACGTCTCCCTCCACTCCATATCCCTTCTCTCTACTCACTTCTGCTGCTGCTTCTCTATCCTCTTTCGCTACCTCCTCCCTCCACTTCTCTGTCCTTGCCTTCATTTTTCCATGTATGTACCATCAATAGCTCCCAAATAAGGCATATCTGCCTTCCTGCAGCAGCACAACTTTCCCTGACCGCAGGTAACATTCACAGTATTTAATGGACACGGCACAGACCTAAACCAATCAGAACAGAACTGGCTACAAACAGTTCACAGTCACACACAAAGGTGAACTGAATCAATGTAAGTCATGACCCCGGTCAACACCAAAAGAGAGACTAACTGTAAAGTCTATCAGTTAACCTTACAAGCTTCAAAGTCAGAGACACCCAAGTTCAAATCTCCACTTTCCCAGTTTCTGTAGAACCTCAAATTGCTTAATTGTCTCCTCCAGTAGAGTAGGCATAATAATTCCTACCCGTGAAAAGTAAACGAGTCAATGCACATAACACCAGAAGGCAGTGTATCGTAAGTGCTCAATAGACATGTTAGATGGATACTTTCCCTGCATGTAACTGTTTTTGGTTGGTTGATTGTTCTCTGTTTTTGTTTCTTTCAGATGGCCTAGATGTGTGATGGATACCTAATGAACAGGTTAAAAAAAAAAAAGACGTTGCCAATTCTGGTCTTAGAAGAAGAGATGTCCAGGCCTGGTGGACTCCACGGGGGATAAATTCTTAAGAGTAGCTAAACTGCAGGTGGAATGAAAGCTGTTCATGCTGATGGGCCTGATGGCCTCTACTGGATTTTTATGACCTAATGAATTAAGAATATCACTCTGTATCAATTTAGAAATTTCTATGTATAATTTATCAAAAAGCTTAATAATTTTATTTCTTATTTTATAAATATCTCATGAAAAAATTGGAAAAAAGAGCAATTAAAATCACCTATAATCCTGTTGCCTAAATAATGATAATTATATCAATAGCTATATATTTCACTGAGAGATTAGCATTCACCAGCATTGTGCTAAATGCATTACCACATTCTCTAATTTAATGCTCACTATTGTTTGGCATAGGAAACTGAGATTTAAAGTGGCTAGATATTAGAAGGAGCAAGATTACATGATTTAAAAATAAAAAGCAAAATCTAAAAAAGAAAAGAAATAAAATGACTAGGTAATTTGTTCAAGGTCAAATTGCCACACCACTCCTAAGAGACATCAGGATTTGAAGTCAGGTCTAAATCTAAAGCTGATGCAAGTATGTTCTATGCAATATTTATTCCCAGAAATAACTAATACTTCCTTCAAGTCTTTTTTTCTGTACCTACACATAGGCACATAGGTGGATAGGTAGATAAACGCAAAAGAAATCCTCAGTGAATTACTTAAACATTTGCATGGGATTAATGAATAGAACTATATTAAAATTTTATTGGTTCAGATACAAAATCTTAAGTCCTATGAATCTTGAATTTCTTAAATAAGATAGTTTCTGTAGCACAACTGTACAAGTCTCAAGCACAAGTTCTTTCCACTCCTCTCCAACCATTGAGACTTTGGACACGGCTGCTCAAAAATGAGTAAACAGAGAACAGTACAAGTTCACAACCACAACCCATGGGTTTCTCAGAAAATATGGGCAATGCAGACCAATTGTTAAAAATCAATAGTAAGGAAAAATGTAAACTTGACAATGTAACATGCAGGGGTAGGGGCCTCTGTACAAACAATGGAATCATGAAAATTAGTGTGGGCATCCTTTTAAATGTCAGTAATGACCAATTCTTTTAGTCCTTCAAATCAAATACATCTTTTTTCATCAATCCCTGTAACTGTAGAACCAGAAATGTTCTACTTTGGGCCCATTCTTCATCTCTTTCCCTTGTGGATACCAGTAGTGGCCCTAATTATGGACAGAAATTAAGCTTCCTGGCACATATTTTTAAGGCCAGAATCCTGAATTCTATTTTGAGGGAACAGACAGGCTAAAATTTCTCCAAAAACTGAAAGACTCTGAAAACAGAAACTACCCAGCAACCAATGGCCTCAACTCCTCAAAAGTCATTCAACAGAGGGAAGACAAGAAACAAGGCCGCCATCCTATGTGGAGCCAAATCCTGCTCCCAGACACTCAGGCACGATTCTTGGGGCTCTAGGCAACCCTGGTCCGAAGGCAGCTCCTTAAAAAGCTAAATAAAAAGAACTGCTGGCAAAGAGCTCCTTAAAGACAGCTGAGGTCCAGTCTGTCCTTTATCAATTACTGATTTACAAACTCAAAACACAAATGTGATATGAAGATCATCAGAGCCTCATTCCCATTTTCTGGAAACTGCCGAAAACAGGTCCCAATTTCTTAAGCAACCAGAGCAAAGCAAGCCAGCAACTTCTCACATTTCTCTTAAAAGAGTGCCAAGGAATCTCATGGACCCTTTGGAGATGAGAAAACTACCTTTTCATGGGATTTCAAATTGGTAAATTAGGACTATTTGGTAATACGGTCATTCTCATCCTTTATTCATCTTTTATTTTTTCAGTAATGTTTTATTGTTTTCTTCATAGAAATCCCACTTTCTTTCTTCCTAATTGGTAGGTATTTGCTGTTAGTGTTAATTGGAAGTAAGATATATCCACCCCTCCCCTCCATTTTTGTTTGCTATATGGATTTTCCATATTTTTAACTACTTTATATAACTCTAATTGATTTAATAGTTTTTGAGTTGATCTGGATGGCTTTTCTAGATCAGCAATCAGTTCACTCAAAAATGATGATATTTTTATCTCCTCCCTTTCATTACTTATATCTATGTTTTCAATTTCTTATCTTACTGCATTAGCCAAGGCAGTGATTGCAAGCTCAAATGTCCACTGGGGCAGGCAGGTAACATACAGAGTGAATTGAGCCAGATGAGTGAGGACTGGTCACCTGGAGAATGCCACTCTGTGTCTATAGGCAGTAGCTGTCATTCTATTCTGAGGTTACCCTCAGGAGAAAGGCTTCATATTGCCAGATTTTCAAAAGAAGTCCGAGAAACAGGGATTTTGCGGGGAGACAGGTGAAACCTCCAGTTCATTAAAGGTTAGCAACAAATTCTTAAAAATTGTAAACATAGGGCAGGACAAAATAAAATGTTTAATGGTCAGATTCATCATAAAAGGGACCAACAAGCTCTAGGCAAGATCTTTCAAAATTAAGAAAGTACTGAATTTAAATCACAATGGACATGGGCAACCTTATCTCCACCCTGACTTTCTCTAATATAGGGCCACTAAAGATGTTTGCTTTTGATTTGAGGTAAAGAGTCTATATCGTGTTAAGTCTCCAATGCTAGTTTACTGGGAATATTTTATCAGAAATGAATTTTGAATTCCCTTAAGAAAATTTTTCTCCTTTGACCCTAAGAGATTGTTTATATTAATAAATTTCCTAAGATCGGAAAGTTAAAACAGAAGGCTTAAAACAGCACACTGTGGGTGAAGCCACTATAATGTGTGCTTCCAAATAAAAAATGTAAATAGATCTTCCCTAATATTTTAACACTTTGGCTTTATTTTATTGACTGAAAACTTGGTTCTGACTTGCCTTCTCATCCATATTCCAACAACTATTTCTAGTGTACTAAAATCCTAGTTATAAAACTGTCACTGACATCATCTGTTGCAAAAAAAAAAAAATTATTCACAACTGGATCCATCATCAACTCAGTCTACACAATCAGCTTTGAATTCCAAAGCAATTCCACACCACAGTCCACATCTGCATTCCAAATCTACTTCGATACAGCTTCCCAAGTCCACTTTGATACAATTCCATCTTTGGAAAGATGTTAGAATGACAAATTTTCTGGAAACAGGTTTTCTTGGGGGCTGGGGCTGTAAGGCATTAAATTAAAAAGATGGAACTGGCTTAAGACAGAAAAGACACTCAATGCATGAATGTAAAAACATCACTAAACTTGGCTTACAAAATTGTTAATTATGTTTTTGACAGTGAATTATCACAAACAGCTGGGGCTAAAGAATACAAACCCACACAGGGAGTGGAGAAAAGTACACTTGAATTCATACAAACACTATCAAGGAGGATGTTTAAACTGAGCCTCTTCTGCAGTAACAACTTCTCCACTTACACAATGGGTTACTCACTGCCACCAAACTTCACAAACCAACTATTCCCAGGTTTCTAAGTACAGGCTCTAAATTGGACATTCTTCTCCCCATTTAGAAAGTTACACCATAAGGTTTGTGGCCGCTAGAGAGAAAGAACCAAGCCAGGATCTAAAAGAATGTGCACACAAAAGCTGTAAAAGAAAAGCTGTCACTTTGCGAAGTTTGGTCTTAATTTTTTTCCAGACTATATGTAAATAATCTCAATGCCTTGGGAGACAGCTCCAGAGAAGTTTCCTGAGCCTGACATCCCATCTCCTCTCAAACACATGCTCAAGCCCTCCCCACATCTTCTGCCAGGAGTCTGCTCCCCTGGGACCTCCTCCCTTAACCCACAGGGAGGAGCCACTGTCAGAAACACTTGCGTGGAGTTGTTCAGAAAATCCTTACAGCAAAGTCAATGACAAGGCAAAAGCCCAGACCAGACATCTTGGGGCAAACACGGCTGCCTGGCTCTGAACACTGGGAGAAAGACTCTCGGCAAAAAAAAAAAACCTAAAAAACTAACCTTACTCTTTAGGGATAGCTTTGGCCATTCTGTGTCAAAAAAGACACAGGCTCTCCCTACACTTGATACAAAGTCAGCTTGGTTCCCTCTCCACTATACACATACGGGGGTAAAAAAGAAAATCCAATCTTTTTTTCATTCCCCAGCACATTTTAGCATATAACTCAGGTGACAGTCTGAAGGTTGCAAGCTTAGATAAAACACTAAAATATTTCTCTAACTGCTATACGTTTTAATAAGCCTAAGAGTTTATTAGTAAAGCCATCCCTGATACTCGTTCTTGGCTAACTTAAGATAGTAAATTTCAAAGTCCAAAGGTTAGAGCCTTCAAGGGAAAAAGAAAGATATCACAACATTCTTTTCTTTTTAGATGGGATGATTAAACATCCTTGTCTGCCTCCAAGTACTTTTAGAAAATGCTGAGAACAACCAGATTTTAATTTAAGCCTCTCTGAAAAGTAAGGACCTCCAATGGACAGCCCAATGCCTTTTCCTATCATCTTTCCAAAGATTTCCATATCTTAGACAAAGGTTTAAGAGGCTGATATCCCTCTGACTCTTATCTCAAATTCTTTCTATGGGAAAGGCACTAGAGTGACCAAGCTCCCAGGGGAGCGTACCAAGCTAACTCTTCTCTAGGATGCTGTCTGCTATGCAATGTGGAAGAGCAGAAGTATAAAGGTTGCCAGAAGCACAGCCAACGTCTGGGAATATTAGGAGCCAACAAAATAATAGGGAAAGGATACATACAAGGAAAGAACACACTATGGCATCCAACACTGATTTTAAAAATAACCAAACAAACAAAATCATCATCCCAGGCAGCCTAAGAGCAATGTGCCCAGATGCCAGAATCAGGGAATCAATTTAGGGTGGGTCAATGGAAACAGCTTTACCCTCCAGAAGACCATGGCAAAAACCACATCAATGCCAGTCATAGGATATCACTCTATTTTGCAAAATATAAAACTGTTTCATTGCAAATCTATGGAAACAATGTCACAGGGGCCAAGAGCTGTCACTTCGAGTCAAAGAAGGCCCACTTCACTGTGGCGCTGATGGCCAGCGATGTCAAGGCGAATTACACCCCCACTCACCAAGAGAGAAATCAAAGTCAGGAGAGGAACGTTCAGCTGGAGACACACCCACAGGAGTTTGGAAAGCAACACTCCTTCCAAGCTGTGCTAATCCATCACAGGCTCACACAAA